TATATATATATATATATATATCATACCACAATTGTGATCAGGAATAATAATTAGCAATTAAAATAAAATCGCATTTACAATAGTAAATAAATTCATTGATATATAAATAAGTTTATTTAAGTTGTAAATAAATCACTAAATCTTTTAAGTCATTTGTTGCGTCTGCAGAAAGTGAAATTATAACATAAAATATTTTCATGCCCGCCGATTTTATTATAAATAGCAATTATATATGTAATGCTTTTGTTAAGTAGATTAATCATTAAACATTCTATAAATAATTCAATATGTGAGTCATCGTGCATGTGTAATCAATTTTATACACTGGAAATATCTTAAATGTATATAGGTATATCAATGTTACACATATGTTTTATTTAGATGCAGTTCTAGATCTAGGCTTGTGCAGTTTTCATGGACTCTCCTTCCATATCGTATTTATATAATCTCGAAGCTTGGAGATCTACAGAAAAGGTGTTACAGAACGTCCTGTTTTTATTCAGAAAAGGCGTGCGTATATATATAATCGTTTACGTACTTCTATTTAAAAAACGTGTATATAGTACAATAATTTAAATTATTATATTATTTATTATATTAATTGTAATATATAAATTGATATATTTATTTGTTGCATAATACTTTTATTATTAATACTGAATTAATTTAACAAAGAACGACATTGCAAAATATAGTTGGCTGTTTCGAAATCAACCGTAACGCAATTTGCGCAATTTCAAAACTTTCTTGGAACATTGCCTGCGCTTTAGAGAAAGCTGTTGTACGACAATTATATCGTCGTTAACGTAGGAGCGGGGATCAAACAGGGAAATATTTTTTATTGCATTTATGTGCCAAGAGATTTCGTAATAAATATCATAAAAACTTTCGTGGGAAATAATTTAATGCAAATTGTTTTAATTTATATATCTTGCTCGTGATCGGTTTTTTAAAGGGATTCGGCCGATAATAAGATAGTCGCGTAATTAAATATGTGTGGAAGAGAAAAAAAAATGAAATACTTAATCCTTCATGTAAGGTAAGATATAATGTTTTTGTTGCGATACTTTTTTTTTATTTTGTGACATAGCTTGCTTGGAAAATATGAAATAATTAATTAGAGAAAAGAAGTAAATAAGATAGAGCATACGATATATAAATATCTTTTTCTCTCTTTTTAAAAATTATACATTTATTTGAAAGCAAAATTTTTTCATAAATGAGGAATTGAACTCTCATCTCAAAGCTGTTAAATTTGATTCATCCAGTATCATTCCAGAAATAAAAGTTGATTGATATTAATATTAAGATATATTCATTCAGAAATATTTATTATATATATATATATACATTTACAATAATAAGATTACGCAAATGTTATAATATCATAGTTGCTTTAGTTATATCATAAATACCAAGGAGAGGAAAAACCATTAATTTTTTATGTGTTTCTGTCTTATGCGATTGAGCAAAATCTTAAAATTTTAAATATCTAAGAATTCTGTATTACACTATATTGCTAAGCACCTAGATTAGTCAGATTTGATATCTTTGAACTAGTAACATGTTTTTATACATAAAAATATATAAACATAAAGTTTACATAAGGAGATTAAAAATTAATTAACTATGTATTGTATGTGTATATACACACACACACATATATTGTATTTCTTACATATGTCATTAATTAATGATCAAAATATAAATAATACCATATTTATTATCAATCATAAAATATTATTCGCCCAGTGTATAATACGATTTTCTGCAAAATTAAGATAATTTTGTTACTAAATCTTCTTAATGCTGTACACATTCGTCAGTTTAAATAAAATAAAATACTAAGAAATTTATTTAGAAAAAGAGAGAAAGAAAAATTCAAATTTTTTCAAAACTTTCAGATTAAGAATATTCTAGTTTGTATTAATATTTATCATATATTATTTACCTATAACCATGCGCTAATCTTCGTTTTTTCCTATAAAATATTATCGCCTGTACTGTAATTCCTAGTAATATTGCAACGATTATCATACCTGCAACTAATGTTAACATAATGTTACAATCTAAGAGAAAATTTATATAATTGTATTAAAAAATGAATACTTACATAGTATTCTAGGTTTTCTATATATAGATACCGATACATCTTTCGATCGTGTTCTAAGGCACTTTGTTAAATGAGATAAAGTACCATTAACCATGGGACAGCTCAAGTCAAGTATTTTACAAAATAGAGGAAATAAGTCTGTGTTATTAAAAGGCTCTAATTTACATCCTGGTATAAAAGCAGGACCATTAGCAAAGAAAAAGGGATGCATCTCCATAGCTTCATTGTTGTAACCATGCAGTCCAAATTCTGTCTGATTGTTAACTAAAAGAGAATAGTACCATTCATCATGGGACTATAATAGGTTGAACATTAACAATAATAATACACAATGATACAGCAATAAATTAAATAGAATAAACAATACAAAATTATACCCGTAATATTAAATTTCTTTTTATAATATTCTATAGCATCATAAAGATTTTGAAATGCATATCCGACTTCGGCTATGACGAAAATAGGTCCTATACGAGTATTATTGCCGTAATGATATTTTTTCGGAATATCTTCTTTTTTATATACTTTAAACGTGCTCGTTTTTTCTGCAGCAAACTTTAATTTCTCATAAATCAACTCTTCTTTTCCTAGACAGAATATTTTAAAAAATATATAATAACATATAAATATTAATTCTACATAACTCACATGTATTATAAAACAACTTTACCAGGATTTGGGAAAATATGTAATCCTGGAGAAGTTCCTACAAATGTATAATCGCTAGCATTTATATAATTTGCTAAATTAATTATTCTTTCCATTGTAACCGATGCCATGCCATGATCGCTTAAGTGTATTACATTAAGATCTGTCAAGCCATAATGATCAATTTTATCATGCATATATCTTGTAATATTGTCCAGCTTTTTTAGAATTTCATTAAATTCAGGACTATTAATCCCTACAGCATGACCGTGGTAATCTGGTTCCTCGATGTACAATATTCCCAGATTTATTGGGTTTGTGGGATGTACAAACCATGATATTAATGTGTCAACCCTGTCTTTCCATGAAATTGTATCATTAAATGGCTGAAATATTTGCTTGTTAATATAATCTCTATATTCTTATAAAATTTCATTATATTGTTCCATAATATGCACACCTGTGCAAAGGTAGGCGATGTTCCTTGATACTCAAACACAGAACCTGGCCACATCATTGTACCACTATGCCTGCCTTTTTTTTCATTTACCGTCTATACATTATACATTAATAGAACATATATTAGACATAAAAATATATTCAAAATATACTAAATATAATAATAATTACTATCTCTCTACATACCCAAATAGGAAGAATACTGTTATCATAATGATATAACTTGTATGAATATTTTGTAACATTGTGAACGACTGGATCATAAAATTCGTTATCTACAACCCCATGTGTTTCCGCATATAATCCTGTTGCCATCGACTGAAATACAGCCAATTTTTTATTTTTTCCCCAAACTTTAGGGGCTCGGAGGAGGGTTCATTTGTGGACCCATGTTCATAGGAAAAAAAGACTTATTTTGACCTCTAGAATATGCTCCTAAAGTTTAGTGCATCATTTCAGATACACCCTGTATATTATGTCATCTAAATTATATGTGTATGTGTATATATACACACAGAATTTAGATGATATAAACACAATGTAAAACAATTCCATAAATCAATAAACAATATTCATAAGATAATTTATATGATCAATAAAATGGTAAATAGTTATTTTAATAGATAATTATTACAGTATGTCTCTCGTTTTAATCAATATCAATTATGTTCTAAGTCTTTACTTATGCGTGTCATAATCTGTACAAAAATGTGAATGTAAAATATTTGTTGTACAAAATATCCATATCTATAATTGAAGTCTATACACTTAAATATATACATGCATGTATGTATGTATGTATATATATACATACTAAATCTGAATATCCCATTATTACCAAAACTTATGTAATTATAAGATATTTAAAATGCATTTAATATAAAACCTAATATTTTAAATTAAATATTTGGCTAAAGTTATTCAATTAATTAACTTTTTTAGACCATATAAACTTTGTATGTTTTTCAACAATGTCACTTACAATTAATTGTTCAATCTCGTCACCATTATTTAATTGATCGTTTGTAAGAGATAGAATATAATCAGTCTCTCTGCTTACAATTATCACTTGTTGCTTTCTAGTTTGCAACATGTTTGCTATTACAAGCTGAAAAAAAAAATCTCCATCAAGATTCAAATATATCTTGGAGAAAAAACTCTTAATATATATATTCATAATAATTACTTACATTATGGTGATATTTGTCAAGAGCATTTCTCGCCTTAGAAATTAGCAAGCTTTCATCAGTTTCCAATTTAAAAGAGACTACAAATGCTTTTGGTACCCATAAACTAACTAATGGAGCTAATATCTTTGGTACTAATTGAAGAGATATAGTTGGTGGTCCACTTGAATGAATTTTATGGACTGACTGAAAAAAGAATTCACTATTATATAGTAGAATATATTCATTATTAAATAGTATAATATATTTTATATTTAAAAATAATGTGAAATATGAATTTGTTTATATGTTCACCATTTCATTAGAGGGAATGTAAAAATCCGAGACTGCTGCTGTTAAATATAGAATGGCTCTGTTTTCCAGAGGTGCTAATACTTGGCAAGCAGATCGGAGCAGCCAGAGATATTCAGCAACAGTTGTGAAAGTGAGTTGTAGCAATTTTCTTTGAATAAATGCTTCTCTATATTTTCGCAGTACTATTGCTACCTTCTGTGTATATTCTGGTGAAACTGCAAACATGAATATACTATGTTTATCAATTACATCAAATTTTTTATATGATTACCTATGATTGATTTTTATATATATTATATGCTTACCTGTGATAACAGGAGTCTCATTATTATTATCCGATATTTGAAGCAAGTCTAAAAACTTTTGTCCAGTGAAATGTCTTGAAAATGGTTCCAATGATTTAACTCTGTGAATACATAAAGAAATATTTTTTTATATAATATCGCTTGTATCACATATTAATTTCTATTATATAAAATATATGTAATATCTCTGTATTACCTATACATAAAAATAACTGCATATCCATGCTCCAAAAAGTATTCTGCCGAAACGGATCCTCTTGTGCCTGCACTAAAGTTATCTACAAATCTCACTGTGTTATGTTCTAAGGGTACAGTTGTACCTCCACTCTGTAACATCCAAGAAAGAAAATATCACAAAAAATTGGTTACTAACTGAGTAATATTAAATTTTACAATCTCACCGTCACTAGTACTACTTTATTGCCCTTGTCTAAATGCTTTTTGGTAAATTCCTTTAGAGCATTTTCACTCTGCTCCAAATCCTGAGGAGGTGGATGCGTTGCATAAAAATCTTCCCACGCTGAGACCATTGTAAATATTTATACAACGATTTAACAGAATTGCTGCATGAACGAAAGATAATAGAAATTCATAAAAAAAAATGTTTGATATTCATATATATAATATGTATTACATAATGGAAGAGGGAGAGCTCTCTCTCCTTTCCTCTTAATCTTGTATCAATGTTATCAGATATATTGGTTATTATTTATCGCTAAAAATATTGTATCTCTGCAAATTATAATTTTATGCAAAGTTGCAACAATTTTGATTCATAGATAAATGCGAATTAATAAATAGAAAGAAAACATGCGCAGAGAGGTTAGATATTAACTCCGGTGTCAAAGTTCTTCGTAAAAAAATCAATCTTTACTATTCAACTTCGATCGTCAATTAACGTTTTGTAAATATCGGTTGCATAAGAACCTTAAAATAAATGAGAATCTTGATATACTTATATAACATAAGTGCAACTCTGATATTTCAACTCCACACGTCTCTCCTCTCTTTCTAGAACCTCATTCTTCAGAAACATGAATGAATGATTAGGGACATAATGGATCTGTCATAATCATTAATCTTTATTTTAAACTGAAATGAAACATAAGACATAAAGTTGACAATATAGTAATAGTTTTGATTCAAAATATATGTTTAGTAGAGAGAAAGAGAAAGAAAAAAGCATTATATATATATATATATGTGTGTGTGTGTGTGTGTGTGTGTGTGTGTACACATATAAAGATATCTATATCTCATTCGCCTTACCTGAACGCATCGTAAGAAACGACTAACAACTTTGGGTGTGGAGACACAGGACCTGCCTGAGCGTTGAGCAAGAAGAGAAATAACGAAACAAATGGGGCTGTAGAAATCATGGTGGTGCAACTTATAGACGATTTACAAGAACGTCATTAGAAAATAGAGATAAATTTTATCGTTCTGACATATTGAAAGTGACAGTAAAAGTACCGTTCATGGCTACAAGTATAACTTGTCAGTCGTTAGTGTCAACTAGTCGTTCCGGATGAGCTAACTTTAGAAAGAATAATAACTACGACCTATTAGCGTTCGCCACTTGACAGTACTCGTTCTAAAATATAGTTCTAGGATGCGTTCGAAAATCCTATCCGTAGGGTAAAGTAGCATTGAATTGACCAATCAGGATTCAGGACAAAGAAATCTTTTTTACTTTCCCCCACGGGTAGGATTTTTGAACGCACCCCTAAAGGCGTTCATGTATGGTTGCCATATCATAACCATGAATTAATAAAATAATGAGATAGGATTTTAGATAAAGAATTAAACAGCGTGTCAAATGCCACATGATCGATGGTTTGATGGATTTATGATTTATGACATTTCGTTTCTTGAATCAGCTGGAATTGGCTAGTCAATATTGCATTACGAGTTTACTCGTTAATAAATGCTACGATTTTTACCATTCATTTTAAAACTACAGAATTTGAAACGGATAAGGTCTTCTCAGACCAATAAATCATTCATTCCACTTACGAGAAGAAAATACAGTAAGATGGTGAAATATTTGAATCAATTGGAAGCTATTAATATTGATAAAGATTTGTTCGAAAAATATAAATTCAGCGTTGATCAATTGATGGAATTGGCTGGACAAAGTTGCGCTGTTGCAATTGCAAAATCTTACCCATTGTTTGGAAACTTGAATAAAGTGCTAGTATGTTGTGGGCCAGGCAACAATGGTGGTGATGGCCTTGTCTGTGCCAGACACTTGAAACATTTTGGATATTCACCAGAAATTTATTATCCAAAACGGACAAGTAATGTATTATATGAGAGATTGTTACATCAATGCATCGAGAATGATATTCCTATACTACAAAATCAACGTATAGAGGAAGCGACAGATTCCACAATTTTGCAAGAATATGCAATTGTAATAGACGCTCTGCTTGGATTCAGTTTCAAACCACCAGTGAGAGAACCATTTGTCCGCATTATTGATATGTTAAAAGATACAACTATTCCTATTTGCAGTATAGATATACCATCAGGTTGGGATGTTGAGAATGGTCCACCAGAAGAAGGTGGCATAAAACCACAAATGTTAATATCTTTAACGGCACCAAAGATGTGTGCATCAAAATTTGAAGGAAGATTTCATTATTTGGGTGGACGATTTGTGCCTAAAAAGCTAGAGTCACAATATAATCTTAATTTACCAAAATATATTGGTACAGATCTTGTTATTAAGATGTAAAAATAAGTACAGAATAATTCATGCATTCAAAGATTGTATTTGAATGTATCAAATTGTATATATAATTATCAAATACTTAAAGAATGATCTTTTATACTAGAATAATTATATTCTTAAATACAATTTAATGTTTCCTAATTAATTTTTTTTTTTTTTTTGCTATGTTGTGTAATAAAGTTTTCTTGTAATAAATATGTGTTTTTATAGATTCACTTGTGTAAAGATTTAAAGGCAAAAACTTTTTGTAAAAGCAATACTATTAAAATTTTAATAAAATAAATAACTAATAAAGGACTATAATAAATGACTAATAAATAAATGAATTATAAAATAATACTCTATTGGTGTATTTTGTTATTGTGAGAAAATTATTTTCGCAAAAACAAAATAAAACTTGTTTTCTTCATTAATACCAATTGTACGAGATATGCAGATTACTATTTTATTAAATATTAAGCCTTCTCTCTATATTTAAAATTATATTACATAATGTACATTTAATAATAATGAATTCTTCTTCTTTTTAAGAAATAATTTAAGATTGCTGCATTCTTATCGCTTTGTCACAAGAACATAGCTTAGAGATAAGGTACTTAGAGGTAGTATTTTATAACAATTTATTCCTACAACAAATACTAGTTTACATGTCACAGCTCAATATTCAGGTGCTGGACTTTTAAGGTTTTTGTAATCCGTTTGTGGAGCGTAAAACTGTAAAAAAAAAAGTAAGATAAACATGAGTATGTACAGTAACTTTGTTCACAGCAACTCAAAATCCAAAATTGTTACAATCGAGACAAACTATGATTATCACTCTCGTTACCTTATATTGTTTCTCTTTATATTCATTCCACGGCTCGGACTCCTTTTTATTCGCCCAGGAGACGTCAGGACTGCGAACCGCCAAACGTAACGTGTAAAAAACTGCCATAGCTCCTCCTAATCCTATACAGAAGTACAGTGGTAGAAGCTGAAATAAGAAAAGAGAGACAGAAGAAAATATATTGAATGTGCGATGAATCGCGCGTGCACTAATCATGTACGAATCTCACAGCTGGATGTTTTTTCAAGCTAGTCAAAGACGTTCCCTGCATTTTCATTGTTGCGGTATCGAATGGAAGATCCGTGCCCTCGAATGAACTAGACAAACCCCTTTCCGCGCTCGGTTTTTCTCGTAATACAGAATACAGACGGAGTAGCGTAGAAAGTAGGGCCGATACTCATTTGGCGTTTGCGCGATGAAAGACCGATCGAAAATCACCGCAGTCAAGTGTGTGACGTATGTATGTAACGGTGTTTAAAATTAAATTCAAAACGCACTGAAATGGCATTTTTATTTTCATTTTAGCGTTGAGCAAAGCTCCGTTAACTTATGAGTATTTAAATATTTGTTAAACTTTATTGAAGTTTGTTGAAAACAATCGTCATACAAAGGAAATTTTAAAGAAAACTTTACTATATATATATTATATAATTTTATTATACATACGATGGGAAATTTTTTTCTCATCCACACGTTTATAAATTCCTCAGTCAACGTAAATGTTATCGATATTTCAACGACGGAGAACGACGGTACGGGATGTTCGGTGTACGCGACTGACATGCAATTGACTCGACGTGTCGTGTCGCGCGTTGCGAACGAATGTAGGTTTGACGTTTGACGAAGTGACGGCGGAATCTACCCAATCCATCGTCCATCACGGACTTCCTTGATCGACATCATCGTGCGACGTATCCAATGGCGGTATTTTGCTGCTCTGGTAAAGGTGAATTTTTCCGCACGATTTCGGGAGACTGGTATAAATATAAATGTTGATCTCATAGCTGCGCGAGGACGCGGCCGTGTAACGGTAGCACGTCGTTACTGGCGGTCATGTAACGATCCCGGACACGTCGTCCAGGGAGCACCGAGTCCGAAAATCTAAATGTCAGAATATCCGCTGATCAAATACGGAATATCCCGTTCTCTGACGAAGCTAAGAATGCGTCGTCGTTAAACGCACCGCGCCGCTGCTGATAATTGCCGTACGTTTATTTGCAACGTCCACGAAGATGGGCTTTTCCACGAGCCTGCAGGGCCAGGCATCGCACGAGGCGCTACTGGCTCGCCAGGATGCCGAGATCAAGCTTCTGGAGACGATGCGAAGATGCCTTACAATGAAGGTCAAGTCCGATAGAGAATACGCTTCTACTGTTTCCTCGCTTATCGTCCAAGGGAAGAAAATTGAGCGCAGCGAAGATCTTGTTGGCAGTCTCATAGTGCAGGTAACAGTTTATTTGTGTGTTTGTAATTTGACTGGTGTCAGTCGCTGGGTATCTGGTATCTGTAGAAAAATATGTTGTATAGAGCTGGAGAGACATTATGGACTCTATCGATCAGACAGCTAAATTGATTAAACAACAGGCAGACAATATTGAAAATGTTGTGGATCAGTTGAATACATTGTATTCGGAAAGGAGAAGGGCCAGAAAGCTTTATCAAGAGGAGCAGGCCTGGCTGACTAATCAGTTTCAACAGGTAAATAAAAAATTTAGACCAACAATAAAATATGAATAAGAGAAATTTGGGTAAATTTTGGTTTTTTTATTTATATGATTCTTTTTAATTTATTGTTTGATTAATATTGTTTAATGTCTTATATTGCATATCATTTTCAAGTTGACAGATGATGTAACTAAGAAAAAACTAGAGTATCAAAAGAATCTGGAAATGTATAAGTCAATGAGGTCGCGATTTGAAGAATATTATGTCAAGTGTAAGTGTTATATTCAAGATTGCTCTGAATTATTTCAGAGTTATATTTGTGTAATAAAGATAATGATACACTAATACAACTTTTTTAGCTGGCCGGGGTGGTCGCAAATTAGATGAAGTAAGGGAAAAATATCAAAAGGCATGCAGGAAACTTCATCTAACGCACAATGAATACGTATTATTACTAGGTGCTGTGACAGAATGCGAACATGATTTAAGAACCTGTTATTTGCCAAGTTTGCTTCATCGGCAACAAGCTATTCACCAAGAATTTATAACTTCGTGGTGAGTTACATTTTATTAAAAATAGTCTTTGCATGAACTAGGACATTAATGTCTCTGTGAAGTTGGCACCTCATTTCCAAAAATCGAAAGTTTTATCAACAGTTCTGTTTGCATCCCATATAATTCTACAATTCCTGATAGGTTTCAGAAAGAGTTTCGGCGACATACCTAAAAAAATCACATCTTGAAAATATGAGGTGCCAACTTTCTATGGCACCACAATATGCGAGAAATGTCATTTAAACCATCGTATCTTATAGTTCTCGAAGAGTTCTATAGTTCCTGATACATTTTAACAATAGTTCCAATCACTAAATATTTTTAAAAAGATTTTTGATTTGAGAGCTGGCATCTTATCTTCCATTAAAAGTGGCTAGAACTTTTGCATTTTTGGTTTTAGCTTCAGGCCTTAGTAATAATCGATAGAACTTTTCGGGATGCAAATAAAACTCTCATCAGAATTCCAGAATTCCGAAAAAAATTTCATCCTCTTAGGGATTTAGAAATTTCCTTTAAACAATTTTTTAATCTTACAATTAGCGCTGGCACCGTATTTTCGAGAAGTATAGAGTGCTAGTTATTTCCATCGGTTTTTCAATAATTCTCGACAGTTCCAGCAGAGTTCTAATCTATAATTCTAATTTTAATAAAATTTAACAATAGTTCTAGTTTAACAATAGTTCGGCCTTTAAATATTTTTAAACAATTTTTTAATCTTAACGCTGGTATCACATTTTCGAGAACTGTAGAATGTTAGCTATTTCCATCGTTTTTTCGACAGTTCTAGCAGAGTTCTAACCGTTTTGATAAGTTTTAACAATAATTTTGGTCTTTAAATATTTTTAAACAATTTTTTAATCTTAACGCTGGTATCACATTTTCGAGAACTGTAGAATGTTAGCTATTTCCATCGTTTTTTCGACAGTTCTAGCAGAGTTCTAACCGTTTTGATAAGTTTTAACAATAATTTTGGTCTTTAAATATTTTTAAACAATTTTTTAATCTTAACGCTGGTATCACATTTTCGAGAACTGTAGAATGTTAGCTATTTCCATCGTTTTTTCGACAGTTCTAGCAGAGTTCTAACCGTTTTGATAAGTTTTAACAATAATTTTGGTCTTTAAATATTTTTAAACAATTTTTTAATCTTAACGCTGGTATCACATTTTCGAGAACTGTAGAATGTTAGCTATTTCCATCGTTTTTTCGACAGTTCTAGCAGAGTTCTAACCGTTTTGATAAGTTTTAACAATAATTTTGGTCTTTAAATATTTTTAAACAATTTTTTAATCTTACCACTGACACCGCATTTGGTCCGAAGCTATAAAATCAAAAATGAAAAAGTTCTGGCCACTTTTAACAAAAGATGAGGTGCCAGCTTCCAAATCAAAAATGTTTTTAAAAATATTTAGCGATCGGAACTATTATTAAAATATATCAAAAACTGTAGAACTCTTTGAGAACTATAAGATACGATGGTTTAAATGACATTTCTCGCATGTTGTGGTGCGGGAAGTTGGCACTTCATATTTTCAAGATGTGATTTTTTTAGGTATTTCGCCGGAACTATATTTCTGAAACCTATCAGGAACTGTAGAACTATTTGGGGTAAACTATTTGGGCAAACAGAACTGTTGATAAAACTTTCGATTTTTCAAAATGAGATACCAACTTTATAGAGACGACATTAACAAAGTACTCTATTATTTCTACTATTATTTACAAGCGAGATTTTAACATTCTTTCTTGATTTTTTTATTTGCATACGATTAGAAATGGAGAAGGTAAAGATTTTATTATAAAAATTAATGATTATTACTTTTGTATATAATATTTAAAATAATTCTCTTTTCAGGAAAGGAGTACTTCAGGATATTGTAAGATACTCGGATTTTACAACAGAGAAATTTCTGGAGATCCATGTACGAGTGCAAAAGATAGTTGACAGTATTAAGCCTATCGAAGAGTATAGAGATTTTATTGGAAAGCATAAGTATATATCTGACTTTATAATTATTTTTATATCTAAAATGTTCATATACCTTTATCAGAATATTCTAATATTAATGCAGAACTAGGCCAGCATCTCCAATCAGATTCACGTTTGACGAGAATCTTGTGGATGATACCTCAGGGAAATTATTGCCAAATAAGTTGACTGTAGATAATCTAACTATAGATTGGTTGAGAACTCGTCTTACGGAACTCGAAGCTTCTCTCAAGACCACACAACAAAATCGACAGAGTCCTCAATTTTTGCAAGAAAATAATAGTGATTCTAAGTATATAAACCATATAATTTTTATAATATATTAACGCCCCATTTTTTATTATCATTAAATTTCTTATTTTCTAATTATAAATCCGTTTAAGCACATTTTTGTATATTCTGTGCTAGGATTTTAGTTTTGGACTATTCTCGCGAAAGGGAAGAACTGAAATTACGTTGTCAGGAGAAAAAATTACAAAGACAGGTGGAAGCCATTAGGAGTGCGCTTAATGAATTAGGCTGTGAAGAATTACCTCCGGGTTGCGACCTCTCTGTAGAAGGTTCTTTCACTGATTCACCTACAATTAATAAAGTGAGTAAAGCATAATTTCTTTTCTTTTTTCTTTATTAATTAACAAGAAAAAGAAATAAATTTTGTTAATTTTAATAAATGTAATATATAAAGTGTATCATGTTCTTGTAACTCAATTCTTGATATCAATATTTTTGTCATAATCAGATCTCTCTCAATATTCGAAAGTCGGAAAATTATTTTGTAATCTATAACATAATTAATACAGAAAAAGATATTATTAGATTTAATTAGTCTTTCTTATTGAACACTAAGTTACCTAAAATTAGTTAGATTTGATACTTTACAGAGAAAGAGAGTTGTAGACAGTGGTCTGTTCACATTAAGGAGAAATCAACGATTTATGACAATATTAAAATCACCTTTTAAATCCTTGCCAGCAATTAATGATTCAAAAAACGGACTAATTAGGGCAAATAGCGAAGGGCCTACAGCCAAAGCAGACAATAATATCCCCCCTGTTGTATGTGTTACACTTTATTTGTGTGTTATCTGAGTACTCGCGTGTACGTTTCCTGTATTGAGTGGCACAAAGCGATAAGATGTTTGATATGTCTTGTATCGTCTAATAAAATATAGACTTCCCATAACAACATAACACATTTCTTCCAGTTTCGGTTCTATAGTGAATTTTTATATAATGATATACTATCATGCAGACATAGATAGTATTAAAATTTCCCATTTGATACTTTTTTTTTTATCATCACAAAGATTAATTCAAAGCCCATATGAAGATAATTGTTTTGCTACCACAATTTACATATTGTTTGAAATTATTTACATGAGTTATTACAACTAGAAAGTATTGCATTAATATATATGTATAATATAAATATCATTTATGTGCAGTTAAATTATTATGCTTTTTTATTAATAAAGCATGAGAATTTCAGCATGAGAGTATGCAAATGAATGTTTTTATACTAATGTTTGTGCACACTTATATTTATATATAGAAATATGTTGCAAATATAAAAATATATATGCAGTGATTAAAATTACAAACATAATTACATCGTTCATATTTTTTTATTAATACTTATTTTGGCAAATTAAACTTATCTGTAGGTACCGTCGCATTTAATTAACAACCAAAAAAATAACGGCGATCTTATAGAGGAGGAATGGTTTCACGGAGTGCTACCGAGAGAAGAAGTCGTAAGATTACTTGTTAACGAAGGAGACTTTTTAGTACGCGAAACAATGAGAAATGATGAATGTCAGATAGTTTTATCCGTTTGTTGGGACGGGCACAAGCATTTTATCGTACAAACTACAGAGGTGAGAACAAACATAAATATAAATGTGATATGAGTTCTTTCGAAAAAAGAATATATTATATATAAGTATATTAATTATAGGGTCACTATAGATTTGAAGGACCCACATTTCCATCTATTCAAGAACTAATCAGGCATCAGTGGCTATCCGGCTTGCCGGTGACTAGTCGATCTGGTGCTATTCTTAAAACGCCAATATTGCGCGAGCGATGGGAGCTTAATAACGATGATGTCATCCTTTTGGAGAAAATAGGTCGAGTGAGTAAGCTGATACAATAGCTATACTTTAGCGAGGTGCAGTGCCGATTATACATTGTGATATAATGCGATGTGAATTATAGGGAAATTTTGGGGATGTTTACAAGGCGCAACTGAAGACTTGTAAGACTGAAGTAGCCGTGAAAACGTGCAAAATAACGTTACCGGACGAACAGAAACGCAAATTTTTGCAAGAAGGAAGAATATTGAAGCAATATGATCATCCGAACATAGTCAAATTGATTGGTATCTGCGTTCAAAAACAGCCGATTATGATCGTGATGGAACTGGTGCCTGGTAAGCTGATAATATTATTGTTATATTGTTATAGCATTACTATGTTAACATGGACATCGTGCTATTGTATTACAATTAAAAATTCGTAATACATATATACCAATCCATGCTATTACCAATATTAATAGCGCTAACTTTAGGTGGTTCGTTACTTACGCATTTACGGAAGAATGCCAGTACAATAACCCAGCGGGAGCAATTGCGTATGTGCAAGGATGCTGCAGCTGGCATGAGCTACTTAGAATCTAAGTATTGCATTCATAGAGATTTAGCCGCTCGCAATTGTCTCGTAGGTAAATAAAAATTATATTTAAATCATTCAGGAAAATAAGAAAAGAGAGAGACAGAAGAAAATATATTGAATGTGCGATGAATCGCGCGTGCACTAATCATGTACGAATCTCACAGCTGGATGTTTTTTCAAGCTAGTCAAAGACGTTCCCTGCATTTTCATTGTTGCGGTATCGAATGGAAGATCCGTGCCCTCGAATGAACTAGACAAACCCCTTTCCGCGCTCGGTTTTTCTCGTAATACAGAATACAGACGGAGTAGCGTAGAAAGTAGGGCCGATACTCATTTGGCGTTTGCGCGATGAAAGACCGATGGAAAATCACCGCAGTCAAGTGTGTGACGTATGTATGTAACGGTGTTTAAAATTAAATTCAAAACGCACTGAAATGGCATTTTTATTTTCATTTTAGCGTTGAGCAAAGCTCCGTTAACTTATGAGTATTTAAATATTTGTTAAACTTTATTGAAGTTTGTTGAAAACAATCGTCATACAAAGGAAATTTTAAAGAAAACTTTACTATATATATATTATATAATTTTATTATACATACGATGGGAAATTTTTTTCTCATCCACACGTTTATAAATTCCTCAGTCAACGTAAATGTTATCGATATTTCAACGACGGAGAACGACGGTACGGGATGTTCGGTGTACGCGACTGACATGCAATTGACTCGACGTGTCGTGTCGCGCGTTGCGAACGAATGTAGGTTTGACGTTTGACGAAGTGACGGCGGAATCTACCCAATCCATCGTCCATCACGGACTTCCTTGATCGACATCATCGTGCGACGTATCCAATGGCGGTATTTTGCTGCTCTGGTAAAGGTGAATTTTTCCGCACGATTTCGGGAGACTGGTATAAATATAAATGTTGATCTCATAGCTGCGCGAGGACGCGGCCGTGTAACGGTAGCACGTCGTTACTGGCGGTCATGTAACGATCCCGGACACGTCGTCCAGGGAGCACCGAGTCCGAAAATCTAAATGTCAGAATATCCGCTGATCAAATACGGAATATCCCGTTCTCTGACGAAGCTAAGAATGCGTCGTCGTTAAACGCACCGCGCCGCTGCTGATAATTGCCGTACGTTTATTTGCAACGTCCACGAAGATGGGCTTTTCCACGAGCCTGCAGGGCCAGGCATCGCACGAGGCGCTACTGGCTCGCCAGGATGCCGAGATCAAGCTTCTGGAGACGATGCGAAGATGCCTTACAATGAAGGTCAAGTCCGATAGAGAATACGCTTCTACTGTTTCCTCGCTTATCGTCCAAGGGAAGAAAATTGAGCGCAGCGAAGATCTTGTTGGCAGTCTCATAGTGCAGGTAACAGTTTATTTGTGTGTTTGTAATTTGACTGGTGTCAGTCGCTGGGTATCTGGTATCTGTAGAAAAATATGTTGTATAGAGCTGGAGAGACATTATGGACTCTATCGATCAGACAGCTAAATTGATTAAACAACAGGCAGACAATATTGAAAATGTTGTGGATCAGTTGAATACATTGTATTCGGAAAGGAGAAGGGCCAGAAAGCTTTATCAAGAGGAGCAGGCCTGGCTGACTAATCAGTTTCAACAGGTAAATAAAAAATTTAGACCAACAATAAAATATGAATAAGAGAAATTTGGGTAAATTTTGGTTTTTTTATTTATATGATTCTTTTTAATTTATTGTTTGATTAATATTGTTTAATGTCTTATATTGCATATCATTTTCAAGTTGACAGATGATGTAACTAAGAAAAAACTAGAGTATCAAAAGAATCTGGAAATGTATAAGTCAATGAGGTCGCGATTTGAAGAATATTATGTCAAGTGTAAGTGTTATATTCAAGATTGCTCTGAATTATTTCAGAGTTATATTTGTGTAATAAAGATAATGATACACTAATACAACTTTTTTAGCTGGCCGGGGTGGTCGCAAATTAGATGAAGTAAGGGAAAAATATCAAAAGGCATGCAGGAAACTTCATCTAACGCACAATGAATACGTATTATTACTAGGTGCTGTGACAGAATGCGAACATGATTTAAGAACCTGTTATTTGCCAAGTTTGCTTCATCGGCAACAAGCTATTCACCAAGAATTTATAACTTCGTGGTGAGTTACATTTTATTAAAAATAGTCTTTGCATGAACTAGGACATTAATGTCTCTGTGAAGTTGGCACCTCATTTCCAAAAATCGAAAGTTTTATCAACAGTTCTGTTTGCATCCCATATAATTCTACAATTCCTGATAGGTTTCAGAAAGAGTTTCGGCGACATACCTAAAAAAATCACATCTTGAAAATATGAGGTGCCAACTTTCTATGGCACCACAATATGCGAGAAATGTCATTTAAACCATCGTATCTTATAGTTCTCGAAGAGTTCTATAGTTCCTGATACATTTTAACAATAGTTCCAATCACTAAATATTTTTAAAAAGATTTTTGATTTGAGAGCTGGCATCTTATCTTCCATTAAAAGTGGCTAGAACTTTTGCATTTTTGGTTTTAGCTTCAGGCCTTAGTAATAATCGATAGAACTTTTCGGGATGCAAATAAAACTCTCATCAGAATTCCAGAATTCCGAAAAAAATTTCATCCTCTTAGGGATTTAGAAATTTCCTTTAAACAATTTTTTAATCTTACAATTAGCGCTGGCACCGTATTTTCGAGAAGTATAGAGTGCTAGTTATTTCCATCGGTTTTTCAATAATTCTCGACAGTTCCAGCAGAGTTCTAATCTATAATTCTAATTTTAATAAAATTTAACAATAGTTCTAGTTTAACAATAGTTCGGCCTTTAAATATTTTTAAACAATTTTTTAATCTTAACGCTGGTATCACATTTTCGAGAACTGTAGAATGTTAGCTATTTCCATCGTTTTTTCGACAGTTCTAGCAGAGTTCTAACCGTTTTGATAAGTTTTAACAATAATTTTGGTCTTTAAATATTTTTAAACAATTTTTTAATCTTACCACTGACACCGCATTTGGTCCGAAGCTATAAAATCAAAAATGAAAAAGTTCTGGCCACTTTTAACAAAAGATGAGGTGCCAGCTTCCAAATCAAAAATGTTTTTAAAAATATTTAGCGATCGGAACTATTATTAAAATATATCAAAAACTGTAGAACTCTTTGAGAACTATAAGATACGATGGTTTAAATGACATTTCTCGCATGTTGTGGTGCGGGAAGTTGGCACTTCATATTTTCAAGATGTGATTTTTTTAGGTATTTCGCCGGAACTATATTTCTGAAACCTATCAGGAACTGTAGAACTATTTGGGGTAAACTATTTGGGCAAACAGAACTGTTGATAAAACTTTCGATTTTTCAAAATGAGATACCAACTTTATAGAGACGACATTAACAAAGTACTCTATTATTTCTACTATTATTTACAAGCGAGATTTTAACATTCTTTCTTGATTTTTTTATTTGCATACGATTAGAAATGGAGAAGGTAAAGATTTTATTATAAAAATTAATGATTATTACTTTTGTATATAATATTTAAAATAATTCTCTTTTCAGGAAAGGAGTACTTCAGGATATTGTAAGATACTCGGATTTTACAACAGAGAAATTTCTGGAGATCCATGTACGAGTGCAAAAGATAGTTGACAGTATTAAGCCTATCGAAGAGTATAGAGATTTTATTGGAAAGCATAAGTATATATCTGACTTTATAATTATTTTTATATCTAAAATGTTCATATACCTTTATCAGAATATTCTAATATTAATGCAGAACTAGGCCAGCATCTCCAATCAGATTCACGTTTGACGAGAATCTTGTGGATGATACCTCAGGGAAATTATTGCCAAATAAGTTGACTGTAGATAATCTAACTATAGATTGGTTGAGAACTCGTCTTACGGAACTCGAAGCTTCTCTCAAGACCACACAACAAAATCGACAGAGTCCTCAATTTTTGCAAGAAAATAATAGTGATTCTAAGTATATAAACCATATAATTTTTATAATATATTAACGCCCCATTTTTTATTATCATTAAATTTCTTATTTTCTAATTATAAATCCGTTTAAGCACATTTTTGTATATTCTGTGCTAGGATTTTAGTTTTGGACTATTCTCGCGAAAGGGAAGAACTGAAATTACGTTGTCAGGAGAAAAAATTACAAAGACAGGTGGAAGCCATTAGGAGTGCGCTTAATGAATTAGGCTGTGAAGAATTACCTCCGGGTTGCGACCTCTCTGTAGAAGGTTCTTTCACTGATTCACCTACAATTAATAAAGTGAGTAAAGCATAATTTCTTTTCTTTTTTCTTTATTAATTAACAAGAAAAAGAAATAAATTTTGTTAATTTTAATAAATGTAATATATAAAGTGTATCATGTTCTTGTAACTCAATTCTTGATATCAATATTTTTGTCATAATCAGATCTCTCTCAATATTCGAAAGTCGGAAAATTATTTTGTAATCTATAACATAATTAATACAGAAAAAGATATTATTAGATTTAATTAGTCTTTCTTATTGAACACTAAGTTACCTAAAATTAGTTAGATTTGATACTTTACAGAGAAAGAGAGTTGTAGACAGTGGTCTGTTCACATTAAGGAGAAATCAACGATTTATGACAATATTAAAATCACCTTTTAAATCCTTGCCAGCAATTAATGATTCAAAAAACGGACTAATTAGGGCAAATAGCGAAGGGCCTACAGCCAAAGCAGACAATAATATCCCCCCTGTTGTATGTGTTACACTTTATTTGTGTGTTATCTGAGTACTCGCGTGTACGTTTCCTGTATTGAGTGGCACAAAGCGATAAGATGTTTGATATGTCTTGTATCGTCTAATAAAATATAGACTTCCCATAACAACATAACACATTTCTTCCAGTTTCGGTTCTATAGTGAATTTTTATATAATGATATACTATCATGCAGACATAGATAGTATTAAAATTTCCCATTTGATACTTTTTTTTTATCATCACAAAGATTAATTCAAAGCCCATATGAAGATAATTGTTTTGCTACCACAATTTACATATTGTTTGAAATTATTTACATGAGTTATTACAACTAGAAAGTATTGCATGAATATATATGTATAATATGAATATCATTTATGTGCAGTTAAATTATTATGCTTTTTTATTAATAAAGCATGAGAATTTCAGCATGAGAGTATGCAAATGAATGTTTTTATACTAATGTTTGTGCACACTTATATTTATATATAGAAATATGTTGCAAATATAAAAATATATATGCAGTGATTAAAATTACAAACATAATTACATCGTTCATATTTTTTTATTAATACTTATTTTGGCAAATTAAACTTATCTGTAGGTACCGTCGCATTTAATTAACAACCAAAAAAATAACGGCGATCTTATAGAGGAGGAATGGTTTCACGGAGTGCTACCGAGAGAAGAAGTCGTAAGATTACTTGTTAACGAAGGAGACTTTTTAGTACGCGAAACAATGAGAAATGATGAATGTCAGATAGTTTTATCCGTTTGTTGGGACGGGCACAAGCATTTTATCGTACAAACTACAGAGGTGAGAACAAACATAAATATAAATGTGATATGAGTTCTTTCGAAAAAAGAATATATTATATATAAGTATATTAATTATAGGGTCACTATAGATTTGAAGGACCCACATTTCCATCTATTCAAGAACTAATCAGGCATCAGTGGCTATCCGGCTTGCCGGTGACTAGTCGATCTGGTGCTATTCTTAAAACGCCAATATTGCGCGAGCGATGGGAGCTTAATAACGATGATGTCATCCTTTTGGAGAAAATAGGTCGAGTGAGTAAGCTGATACAATAGCTATACTTTAGCGAGGTGCAGTGCCGATTATACATTGTGATATAATGCGATGTGAATTATAGGGAAATTTTGGGGATGTTTACAAGGCGCAACTGAAGACTTGTAAGACTGAAGTAGCCGTGAAAACGTGCAAAATAACGTTACCGGACGAACAGAAACGCAAATTTTTGCAAGAAGGGAGAATATTGAAGCAATATGATCATCCGAACATAGTCAAATTGATTGGTATCTGCGTTCAAAAACAGCCGATTATGATCGTGATGGAACTGGTGCCTGGTAAGCTGATAATATTATTGTTATATTGTTATAGCATTACTATGTTAACATGGACATCGTGCTATTGTATTACAATTAAAAATTCGTAATACATATATACCAATCCATGCTATTACCAATATTAATAGCGCTAACTTTAGGTGGTTCGTTACTTACGCATTTACGGAAGAATGCCAGTACAATAACCCAGCGGGAGCAATTGCGTATGTGCAAGGATGCTGCAGCTGGCATGAGCTACTTAGAATCTAAGTATTGCATTCATAGAGATTTAGCCGCTCGCAATTGTCTCGTAGGTAAATAAAAATTATATTTAAATCATTCAGGAATCATTAAATCCAGCAAGTTCGACGATAAATATAATATTTGACTGCGATATTTTTTTAGGATACGAGTGCATAGTCAAAATCTCTGATTTTGGAATGTCAAGAGAGGAGGAAGAATATACAGTCTCAGAGGGTATGAAACAAATTCCCATTAAGTGGACTGCACCAGAGGCCTTGAATTTCGGTAAGCTTTTCTTAATTTTCGATAATGTCAGACATTTTATTGTTGCTCTGATACTTTATTACTGTTTCAGGTAAATATACATCGCTTTGCGATGTGTGGAGTTATGGAATTCTAATATGGGAAATATTTTCCAAAGGCGGCAATCCATATAGCGGTATGTCCAACAAGCAAGCACGCGACAAGATAGATGCAGGTGAGAGAAGAAATAACAGAAATCGATAAATAATTAATTACAGATCAATATCAATTTTTATATATTTGGCGTCGCGACGCTACCGCGTCGCTTGATATGTATTACTATATTTTTTATATTCATAATTGATTATTTTGGCAATTTATGCCGAATGATTACATTAGGATATCGAATGCCAGCTCCGGATGGAACACCCGAAGAGATCTATCGATTGATGCTGCGGTGTTGGGAGTACGAACCAGAGAAACGACCGCATTTCGATCAAATATTCACCGTGGTTGAAAGGCTATCTCAAGCATATCTATGAGTATTATATTAAAAATATTTTATGTGGGCATATAGTTTCCCTATGCTATAGTTTCCCGACACTTATTTTGTATAATTTACGAATTATATGAAATTCAAGTTGATATCTAAAAGATACAGGTTTTAAAAGTATGAAATGCTCACAACCAAACTGTATTTTATTCTGTAAGTATATATATGTATACGTATGTATATATATCATGGATATACTAAGATATATCCATGGTATAGATATACTAGCATAAAAAACACATTAAATTGCCATTATTATACGTCATTGCGAAATCGCGTCGATGTGAATGCCATTGGTTATGTTTTTTCGCAATATATGTTTAATTAATATGTTTTATAATTTATTATATATTTTTCCGTCCACACACACACACATACACATTATAATTCAGCTTATCCTTACACCAAGTGTTGGTCACTTTCCTATAGTATATTTGAATATATATATATATGTCATCTGTATGTTCTCTTTAATGATAGTGTAGTATTTTTTTTTTTTTTTATATAAATACAATTAATGTTATATATACAATTAAATTTTACAGAAATGCATATTGGGATAAATAAATGGGACATCTTCCATTTGTATATTTATTGTAAATTTATTGTTTTTCATGGAAATCATAGCGAGAAAACATCATAAATCATTATATATATGTATAAAATATACAGTTCTCGCGATTCTATACATATTTCTTGTAATTTCCAATAATATGAAAGTTTTACCATATTTAACTATATTTTTAAATATATAATTATGTTGCATATGCATCTTGACCAATGTTACTCGTTTAGTTATGTATAAAATCATAATATTTATGTAAATTAAGTTCCACTCAAAAAATGTATTGACGATATCAAAAAATTGATATGCAATATCAATTTCAATTAAACTTTTACTTATATATATTCATATATATAAATATATAAAAATTAAATGGTGGATAAATACTTAAAAAAATTTGTAGTATGAAATGTCATTGAAAAGAAATATGTGAAAATGAAAAAAGACCACTTGTTACTGATTTTAAGTTTTCAAAGAATACTTTAGTTTTATATAAACAGAAAAAAACGAATTAAGCAATTTACGATATAGTATCTTAATTATAAGAACTCTTCCAATGAGTAATTTTATATCTCATTATTGCTGTGCAATATACGATTGAACTGAAAATAAAACATAAATGCGTGTATGTATATCATTTGTGTTATAAATTTAAATATAAAATTTAAATGCTATAGCATTCAATGTTAATAAGTTGATATTTTTATAATTTAGATGCTCTACTTTTCCCACTTGTTTAAATGACAATGTTATACATTGCACGCATTGTAATAAGTAATCTTTACGAATAGCTATAAGATTCTATAATATAAAGAGATCCATTCTAATGTTAGAACTAATATAATTGAATATAATTCACGTATATAGATATAGTTTATTACTTGTTATCACAATGTGTGCAATTTAACGAAAGACATATATCTTGTTTCCATATACAAATACTCAATGTTGCTGTAATAACAATAATAAATTAATAAAGACTGTATACATATCGGTCTTTTATAAAAGTATATTTCTGTATTTCCAGTCAACTTAATCTCTCTCTTTACATCTTCTAGAAAAGATGAGAAATTCTCTCAATGAATTACACACATATACATGATATTCTTGTGTCATATCACGAAAATTGCAAAATTTAAGACTCACCATTTGTTCGAAAAACATTTTTTAAATTATAAATACAATTTAATGAGTTCGTCGCTAACAGCCGAAGGCGTTAAAATTCCCAGGTCGGTGAATAACAGGCTAATGTAGTGAGGCGGAGTATAATCCACTAAAGGATGTTCCTTCTTCAAATTATTATTTAGAGTACTGGATGTATACTACAATAATAATATTCCATATTTTAGGCAGACATACATCAAATCTCTCGCATTATTTTTAATTAAAATTAAATCACAATATAAATAGACAATAATTTACCTTAAATTCATCAGGTAAATCTACTTGGTTCAAAGGATAAATTCTCGCAAATTTAAAGCTTTCTGTCAATACGTAAAATGGTTTCTTTACTTCTTTTGCACATATTGCCATAGTATATGTACCTATCTATAAAAAAAGAGAAATATTTTTAAAGAAATCTCTAATGATTATTTTTAAAGAATTATACACATTGTCATTTTGAATCATTACATACCTTATTAATTACACCACCACTTTCTGCAACACCTTCTGCTCCAACCATCACCATATCCACTTGTTCCATCACATATCCTACTGCAGAATCCAGTATCATTGTACATGATATTCCTAACTTTGTTAAACTTTGGCACATCTCTTCTCTGCTTGAAAAATAAAGATAAAACAAATTAAAGCTTATCATAGAGGCAATAAAAAAATAGTATATCTTATATAAAAAAGACTTGCACATACCCAATATTATCGGGAGATGATGATGTGACATATACTTCAAATGTTTTATTACTTGCAGCAGCCTCCTTCATTGCTTGCAGCACAACTCTTGATTTTGAGTGTGTTAGTATTGTCTAATAAAATATAAAGTAATAGAAAAAGAATAATTAAAAATATTTTATATATTCTTGAATATTTATTCTTACCGAACCATCAGTAATAAAATGTGCTGCTACTTTAGCTACTTTTCCTCGTGCCGCAACTAATTTTTCATAAAATACTTTGCCTCTGTCCAGCATAATTCCTTTACATTCTGCAAATGACTAATTAAAAGCATATAGACATCAATAAAATAGATAAATTCCATAATAAAAATAAATATTAAAAGATGAATGTATTCTATAATTTATTGTTAATATAGATTTTATTTATATATATTAAAGATGTAAATAGCACCAAAAAAAATCTAAATATTAATATTCTTACAGGAGTATCTAATGTTGCTAATGTGATAAAACGCAAAAACAATTCACTTCCTGATGCAATTGCAGTAACTGGAGTTTCTGTAGAACGCATAGCATCAATTGCATGTTGTAAGCAAATCCGAAGCTCTTGAACTGTTTCTGCTATAATAATAATGAGAACATATAAAAGATCAATCTATACTGATTATAAAAACATTACATTTTTTGATACTTCATTGTAATCAAGAATTCACTAATATAAATTTGTTAAGTGATATATATATATGCGTGTGTGTGGAATACATATATATTAAATATATTTGTTTTATAAAATATATTTTATATATAATATAAATAAATATATTAAATATATTATATGTATAAAT